CTTCTAAAATAACTTAAAATATTTTCTAACTACACCAAAATTACAATCAGTGATGTGCAAACAATAAAGCAGTGGTGCACCACAAATAATCATACATGTATATGTTTTATATCTACATATATTAAATATATTATTGTATTTTATTTTCTTTTAGAGACCCATACAATAAAACAAATACAACCCTGGCTGCTGGAGAATTTAAAATTTGCTGATGATTTGTTTTTGACATCAATCGGTTTAATGGAACCACAAATTGTTGCCCTGAGAAATAAATTGCAGCATAGTTATTATCAGGTAAATGTTTAATCCTACAATTTTATCTTTTTTCTCCACATTTTTACATAGATTATTTATTTGATTAATCTTTTTCTCCAAACCAAGATCAAAACTCTTTGGTTTAGTAGTAAATATATACGTGGTGCTAAAAATATGATTTTTTATGGAATGAGCCATTAATTTTGTCTTAATCTGTTTCTCAGTTTTCTCATTTCAAATCTTTCACTCAACGTCGACTTTTGGCTCCGAGTAAACATTGTCCCATAATTCTTCACTTGTTGCTCAATATCCAAATCATCTGGTGATGGTAAATCTATTTGTTTAGTTGAAAACATGCTAGTCTGGTTCTGGTTGAAGACTAAAAAGTCTTTGTCATCATCTGGTACCAAAGGTGTGTCCCTGTTTTCTTTTTTGTTGCTAGAAGTTGTTTTCAATGCTGCTGGTGTCGTAGCCAGATTTTTCACACTCATACACAAACACGTACATACACTCTTCCAGTTTTGGTCTCAAACGATTCAGAATGGCTTGAAACTACCAAATCGGATTTTCAGATGAAAACATACTTCTCCTTTGGAAAATAAGCAACTATTATTACCTACCAAAGCCTTTTGAAGAAATTAAATCTTTTTTTTCACTTGTTGAGGGACGAGAACCAAATTTTAAGTCTCTGGTATTAGATGTATCATTGTTTTCACTCATTGATGGAGTTGATAAAGATTTTAAACCCTTCGAAGTAATTGGATCAATTTTTTCATTCATTTATGAACTATAAGATGACTTCAATACTTTTAAGTCATTATTTTCCATTATTGATAAATTATTTATTCAATCAATCTTTTTTCCCAAACCAAGATCAAAACTCATATTCTTTGGTTTAGTAGTAAATATATCCGTGTTGCTAAAAATATCATTTTCTATGGAATGAGCCATTAGTTTTGTCTTAATCAGTTTCTTAAAAGCTTCAAATCTTTCACTCAGAGTCGACTTTTGGCTCTGAGTAAACATTGTCTCATAATTCTTCAATTGTTGCTCGACATCCAAATCATCTGGTGATGGTAAATCTATTTGTTTAGTTGAAAACATGCTAGTCTGGTTCTGGTTGAAGACTAAAAAGTCTTTGTCATCATCTGGTAGCAAAGGTGTGCTCCTCTTTTGTCTTGGTTGCTAGAAGTTATGTCCTCAATGCTGCTGGTGTCGTAGCCAGATTTTTCCCACTCATACACAAACACGTACATACACACTCTTAGTTTTGGTCTTTGGAAAAGATTCAGAATGGCTTGAAACTAGCAAATCGGATCCTCAGATCCTCAGATGAATACATACTTCTCCTTCATTATAATTTATGTTCCACAAGAATTTTTTTCACTCAACCTTTCTATTTTTCTATCTCTATCTTTCTCAGGCCTCGCTCCCAATGAAGGCCTACGCCGCCCAATACAAACGCTTCCTAGAAGTCCTCACCACGAACACCGCCGAATACGTAGAGACCATTCGGCAGCAGCATCGGGACGCCAGAGAGATGCGCAATGAAATCAACTACCACGTACAGATGAGGGACAGCATAGAAACGTCGGTGCCCGCCAGTCTGGTCATCGGGCCCTTTCTGGTAATTGTGGCCAATCTGAAGCAGCAACTGGTAGCCAGGAAGTGGGAACTGGCGCTGGCTCTGATGGATATGCACTCTGCCACCTGTCGGGCGGGGATCGAAGAGGTCTTGGGTAAGGAATACGTAATAGTAACCACGTTATAGTTAATGTGTTGGTTACGTAACGTGGAAGCAACACAGACGTCACATTTGATACGTTTTCGAGTTACCGAGTAAATTTTGACTTATTAGAGTTATTTGTATGTTTTTTCTTATTGCTGTAAAATATATTTATTAATTGATTTATATTATGTAATTTTTTTCCAGCTCAATATAATTACATTTTCAATCGTCTCAATGATAAAATGTTATCGATTGAACATATTTTTGAAACCAAAGAATGGATGGAGACGATTCCTGAAACTATCGAAGATTTGGAAAAGGAGACGAGAAAGGTAACTAAAACGCGATGATAATGTTTTGATGTTTGATTAAGAATTACCATTTTGTTAATATTGCATATTTTTTAAAAATTTGTTATATTTGATAATATTTTATCAAATATTTCTTAAATATTTGTTTAATTTCTGAAAAATCGTCATTTTTAAGTAGAAGAGCATTTACAATTACAATTTAAATGTATTTTATAACTTTCGTTACCTATGTTTCGTAATAGTTACGTAACATTCTAGCACTATAACATATTTACTTATCTTTACGTTTTTATTGCGTTGTGGTTACGTTATAAAACATAGTGTCGCTATATTTACATTTGTATTTCTTTTTTCATTTACATCATATTTATCTTAATAATACATCATATTTACTTTACCCTATGCGCTACATTTGTGTTACGTTCTGGTTGCGAATCATTTATTTTAAAAATTGTATTTATATTTTCTTTTCCATATTTCTTAAATATGGAAAAATTTGTTAATTTTTTTTAAAAATCGTCATTTTTAAGTAGAAGAGCATTTACAATTACAATTTAAATGTATTTTGTAACTTGCGTTGTATATGTTTCGTAATGGTTACGTAACATTCTAGCACTATATCATATTTATTTATCTTTACGTTTTTATTGCGTTGTGGTTACGTTACAAAACATTGTCTCGCTATATTTACATTTGTATTTCTATATTCATTTACATCATATTTATCCTAATAATACATCATATTTACTTTACCATATGCGCTACATTTGTGTTACGTTCTGGTTGCGAACCATTTATTTTAAAAACTGTATTTATATTTTCTTTTCCATATTTCTTAAATATTTGTTTAATTTTTTTAAAATTGTCATTTTTAAGTAGAAGAGCATTTACAATTTAATTTGTAACGTACGTTGCATATGTTTCGTAATAGTTACATAACATCCTAACATGGTGCTATTATCATATTTACATAAGCGTTACGTTTTTATTACGTTATGGTTACAAAATATTGTGTTGCTATATTTACATTTGTATTTATTCTGTTCCGTAACATTTACATCATCGCTACATTTGTGTTACGTCCTGATTACGAAACATTTATTTTAAAATTTGTATTTATATTTCTTTTTCCAGATTTGTTTAGATTACGACGTCCTAGACATTTTCTGGTACGCAATAGAAGATGCAGATTTCAATGCAAAATGGGAAGCCCTATCCTTCCCAATGCACATTTTCATGCAGATCCATAGAACTGAAGTTATTTTAAATGAGGAGTCCGATAAATTCTTCAGGATTCATCTCAACGACGAAGCTAGTCATTTGGAAAAGATTGAATATCTTGCTTGTAAATAATAAATAAAAAAAATTGTCCTATAAAATGTTTAAAGCTGCACCTGGTGATGTTTACTTGTCATTATTACTGCTTCTACGAATTTTTTCCTTTTTTTAGCTCAAGTTGGTCAGATGACACAGATGTACGATACTTCTAAAATTCACGACAATGCTGTAGAATGTCGAAGGCTCTGGAAGAGTATGGTTGAGACTCAAAATTATGGATATGTTTTGAATAGACGTCAAAAGTTATTTGACATAAAAGTAACTAATGATAGTCCTAATATACAATAACTCTTACTATGTTTTTTTATTCTTATATTTTTTAGGTAGTTTCTTACCAAGATACAGATGATCTAATGGAAACCTTCAAACCAATTCGAGACGTCTGGGGGACAGCATCAGACACCCTAAAAGCTCGTGATATCTGGTTTGAGAATCCTCTCCAGACCCTAGATTTCCAATCTATGAACAGAACAATAACAAACACTATGAACACTCTAAACCAGTTGATGCAATCCTTTGAGCATTTGCCAAAGATTCAGGATGTCATACAATACATTGAGAGCATCGTGGACAACTTCAAGCCTTACATCCGCCTTGTACGAGCAATGAGGAACCCTGATTTAAAAGACGAGCATTGGAAAAGGATTGGACTTGCCACAAATATTCGTGTTGAATTTTTTCCTGTCATAACTTTACAACAATGTTTAGACATGGGAATCACCAAGCATGTGGATGAAATCGTGGAGATCTCTGAAGAAGCAACCAGAGAGTACCTGCTTGTGGAGGCTCTGAGAATGAAGGTCTCGAATGAGAAGTTTATGAGAAACCTGGTGGATGAACAGATTATTATGGATATAAGGGATTTGTACAGGAAGAGTATTGAAGAATTCTTGTGGACCATTTTTGATGCAATGTTTGAAGAGTTTGATAAGATTTTGTACTTGAGGGATATCCTCAAAGAGGTTGTTGAGCAAGCGAGAGTTATTGGGTTTGAGAATGTTTCTGCATCTATGAGGATTTTGATTGAGGAACATATTTTGACCAGGATACCGTACCACAAGAAATAATAATAATAAGATATATATATATATATATATATATATATATATATATATATAATAAAATAAATGATTTATGTAAAATATATTTTTTTCTTTAATTTATTTTTGTTTAATCTTGGCTTCGAGAGTGAGCATGAGTGTTACAAAAAGTTTTGATCGGTCCAGAAGAACGGAAAAAGAAAAAAAAATTCTTTGTTTATTTTATATTAGGCGGCAAAGATTGATTCTACTAGTTTTATTTAACATTCTATTAACTTGGCCATTTATTATTTAAATTGCATTTAAAAATTTCAAATTTTTATCTAGATGTGTCGTCCAGAGCCTCTCCGAAGGCGAAGGCAACTCCGAACTAGCAGACGAGCTAGCCCGTCCCACAACCGAGGCTCCCCAGACAGTCCCTCCACTGCCTCTCACCCAGGCTGCTTCTGGGGGCGACAAAGGACGTAACGGAGCACCCGCCAATGTCGGAGGCGCCGGAGATGCCGCTGCCAATACGAATGGTGCGAATGGGGGCACTGCAACGACTGCAGGAGTCGAAATGAGCGATGAGATTGCCAATTGGGAGACCTGGATGCCTGATCCGGTGGACGCTGATCCTAGTAAGTGGTGGAATATTAATATATAGATATATTTGTGGGTAACTAATAGATAGACATTTAGAAAAAAAAGAGTGCGCGTAAGGTTCACACGCTATTGAAGTAAAACTTATTTGCAATTGTACAAGATGGCATTTAAGTAAAAATAAATACATCATATAACAATTTTGAATAATGTTTATTAGTAATATGGTAACACTCGTGATGCACACATTTATTAGTGTCAAGCATTATACACATTTATATAATGATAAATATATAAATTATATATTTATAATAGCATTAAAAATATGTATAATATTTAAAAACAATAATATAATTAAAGTCATAGTTCAAATATGACATGATCGGTTTGTCATTGTAATTAGCATTTAGAAATGAACATTTATTAGAGAAATGCAGTAATTGCTGATTAATAAATCCTATAATATTTGTTCATACAGTGGATTATGTTAAACAACGCCTAAACAAATATTGTTTTCATATTTAGTTAAAGAAAGTATTGCTATATATTTATATATTTCTATTTCTATCATTTTTAGCGAAGTCCTCAATCGTTCGCAGAACCAGTGACATCATAACAATGCTGGTTGACATCTACGGCAGCAAGGAGCTGTTTGTGAATGAATACAGGACACTCTTAGCCGACAGGTTGTTAACCAGGCATTCGCCTAAGTTCGACATCGATCGGGAGAGCAGAAACCTTGAGCTGCTCAGGATGAGGTTTGGCGAAGGACAGCTGCATAATTGTGAGGTTATGCTGAAGGACATGAGGGACTCTAAGAAGATAAATGAACATGTGCACGAGGATCAAAGATACCTCAAAGGTAAGATGGAGATGATAAGTGGGTTTGATGTTATTATTTAGTCAATATATTGAAGAAAATTTAATTTTGCACAAATTAGATACATCTATTTGTTTTAAAATAATAGTTTAAATTTATTTATTTATTCTTATTTTTATTTTCCAAACCACTTTAGACTTATAGGTTATAATGTAATAACTTGGAGTGAGAAAAATATAAGTTACAACATATTAGCGCAATTTGGAAACGTAACAAAAACGAAACCGTTACGTTTTCGCGTAACGAAACCGGCCGTTACGTTTTTGAGGCGGAAATAGATACGATCTCCTAGGCTACGTAACCGCTATGTTTCACGTAAAATCTGTTACGTTATATTATCGTTTTAATTACGTTTTGTGGTTTACTGAGTAATAACAATTATCCATAAACAATCGTACTAAACTATTAAATTTTATTAAATTTTTCAGACGAGTTGTTCCCAACAAAAGCGACCATAGTCTCAGCCCAATTCTGGCCACCATTCAAAGAGGAAGCCATCGAGTTGCCTGATGTTATTAAAAAGCAAATGGAAAACTACACCAAGGCCTATGAGTCACACAAAAGTGAGTAAATTGAAGCTACTTGCCATCAGGCCACCAGGATTTACTAATATTATTTACAGGTAATAGAACGTTGTTCTGGAAACCGAATTTGGGACAAGTGAATTTGGATATTGAGTTGGCAGATAGGACATTGAGTTTGACAGTCTCTACGATCCATGCAGCAATCATCATTCATTTTCAAGGTCAAGGTAAATAAAAAAACTAGTTGCAAGTAGCATTTTGCTTTAAGGATTTTTCCTTAAGGAAACCATTGAGTTGTAGGCAATTTTTTAAATTATGATAATGAGTACATACTAGTCACAATATTTTTAAAACTATATTCCAAGAAGATAAATGATAAATATTTTCTCAACTGATATCTTTTAATAATTGTTGATTTTTTAAACCCATAAAGTAGGCTCGGCCGATCTTCGTACAAAACTAATCACTGTTGGTTCTCATCCAGTTTCAACGAATGGCTTTTAAATTTTTCCAATTTTTTTTGCGAAAACGTCGACGACAGGTCAAATTTTGCCTCACACACACATAATTTTTTCCAATTTCGGTGTCAAACGATTCAGAATGAGTTAAACGTCGAATTAGATATTTTGTTATTCTTTAGGAGGTTAGAAAATAGTATCAACATTATTAACTTTCCGTAGGGTAAGTTATAGTAATCGCAAAAAACGAAAATGAAAATTTTTATATATCTTTACGTTTCAGAGTTTTCTGAACATTTTGGCAAACCTTGGGAAAAATTGATGTATGTGTGTGCGGATACAAAGTTTTGTCGACGATTTCGGGAACACGGTTCAACCGATTTCAATAATTCAAAAAACATTCGATTGCTGTTGATAAGGAGACATTCTGATTAGTTTTTGGCATAGGCAGGTCTAGCCGTTTCGAAGGTACGTGGTAAAAAGTGCCACAAACGGTAACTCAGTTTTTAAGAGAACCGATTTTAATAATTCAAAAAACATTCTACTTGTATTGACAAGATGAAGAACTGATCAAATTTTAACAATAATTATAAATTTTGTTTACATTCCTGTGGGTTCTGTACCAATGTTTATCCGATAGACGGCGACGCGGCGCTTACGCGCTTCGATATGTCATATCTATGCAGTTAAAGCAGTACGATTGCTTTGAAAAAAAGTTCAGAACTTCCAAAATATGTCAAAATAAAGAAAACATTTTTTGTTCTCAAAAAAAGTAAATTTTTGTCGAAAATTTATAGTTTCTCATTAATCTAATTTTTTCAAAGTAATTTTTTTTCAAAAATGTTAATCTTTAAAAAAAAAAAAATTTGGTACGGAAAGTACCAGCAAATTTCCCTTAAGGCACGAAGCCATGCGCCCCACTAGTATTTATTCTATTCATTATATATCTATTTCTCCAGATCTCTGGCAACTTGATGATCTGAGTTCTACCATGAAGCTCCCGCAGAGTGTCCTCCGCCGAAAACTATCCTTCTGGCAATCCCAGGGCATAATCCGTGAACATTCTCAAGACCTCTTCCAACTCATCGAGAAAACAAACTACGAACCAGAAACTCAATCCATAGCTACTCACGAAGAGTATGAAGAAGCTGAGAGTGCCATGGCATCCACAAGTGACCAACGCGAAGAAGAGCTCCAGGTGTTCTGGTCTTACATCGTAGGCATGTTGACGAATTTGGATTCTTTGCCTCTTGAGAGGATCCAGCAGATGTTGAAGATGTTTGCTTCTCAGGGACCTGCAGTTGAGTGCTCGCTGGTGGAGTTGAGGCATTTTCTGGATAGGAAGGTTAGAGAGCACAAGTTGGTGCTTATGGGAGGGCTGTATAGGCTGCCAAAGGGATAATGGACTGATGTAATTAAAATAATTATAATTATTTTTTGTTATTTGTGAAAAGATATCACAATTGTAAGTTTCACAATTTTGCATTTGTATAAATATTGTATATAGATTGAAAATTGTTTTTATATTTAAGATCAACAAAAAACAAGAATTCATAAAAAATTACAGTTCGTAGCACATATGTCTTAAGTAATTACTTCAATATTGAACTTTTTGTCTAAAAACTGCGGTTTGCTGTTTTTATAAGTGTTTGACGTTTTTAGTCATTCTTAATCGTTTGACGGTCGACCGAACCGTTTCTTTATAACAAGCAGAAAAGTATAAAACTTTTTGTCCAAATTTTTGTGGAAAAATCTAAACTGACTTTGGGAATTCAGAAACTATTCGAAAGATAAGATTTGGGAATCTTGCTGATTAATTTTTAGCAAAGATCGGATAAGCCGTTTCTTTGTAATTAAATGAATGAAAATGTTTTTTTACAATGGAGTTCATGGTCTTAAATAAAATATTTTAAAAAATTGCAGCTCACAAAAAGTGTTTGAATTATAAAAGTTCATTAAAGTTTGAAATAATGGTTAGAAAATACAAGCTATCTATTTGTGCACTATAATTATAAATATAATTTGTGCACTGAATTATAATTAGGTTATAAAATAAAAGTTTTTATAATATTAATTTATTTTTTTATATGTGTGGGGTCGTCAAGAAACTCCCAATCATAAGTGGGGCCGCAAAAAAACTGGCAATTGTAAGTGATGGGGTCGCGAAGGATAAAAGTTTAAGAAGCCTTGGTCTAGAAGGTTTGCAATGAGCTGCCTCGAAACAAAATGCTCTTACGCCTAGTGTTTTATATACTTTTTGTAAAGAAACGGAACCAGAAAGATATAAGCTCCAATAAAAATATAAATGGCGCCATATGAATGTTGGCGCCAAGATTCTCTTATTGTTTAGAATTGGGCGCGGTCAAGTTCAGACATTTTGAACTGCAGATCTAGATATCTGGACTTTTTTCTAATAATATGCGAATCCAGTCTGTAAATTTGTGTCTGTTAAAATAATGGATGCAAATTTGAATATATGCGCGTAGAAAATTAAATCGAGTTTGCTACAAACAACTTTTTTATTATCTTGTTAGTAGTTAAGCTTCTTATGTTGGTGTATCTACTGATCACCGCTAACGTCCATATTTAAATAAAATGTATTTTTGGAACACAGAACAAAATGTGTGTATCAAACTAACATTGATTGTGAGCTGTTCCTTTTTTACTTCTTTAATATTTTTCGTTGCTAGAATTTATTAAAATATATTGATTGTGCAAAGTGAAAATATTGATTGTTAAAAATATATTGAACTCAAGGTAATAAACAATATATTTTGTTTTTAAATTATATTATTCAGCATTTGTTATGTGAAGCATTAATATTTACACTCATTTGGAAAATTGTAATTAACTCATAAGTGTTAAATTTTTTGTCAATATTTTTCCAAAAATTCCTTAACTTTTAAAAATTATTTAAAAAATATTAATTAGAAATCGTGCTGATTAGTTTTTGGTAATTATGAGCTGGGCAGTCTCTTTGTAATCATTAGTAGAAAACTTTGTATGACTAATATAGATATCATGGTGTGACTTAAGTCTGGTGGTCTGACATAAATTAAATTAAACTGTACTAAAATATTACAATCCTACGATATGTAATTGAAAATTTTTTTTAAAATAAAACCACAAAAACTTAGTCAAAAAATCCGTGGATAGATATCTTTGTAAATTTCATAGAAATAAAACCACAAAAGCTTGGATTGGATTATAAAAAATTATTAATGAGCATTTAGAATTGACCATGAATAATATGCTTACGTCGCGTTGTGTTTTGTACGAGATGGTTACCGTTGATTACAGTTGACGTCCACATTTAAATGAAATGTCTTTAAACAAAGTAGAATAAAATGTTTTAAATAAATTTAATTTAATATACAATTACCTGATATATTCTGTTCTTTTTGTACGCGTTGATTACCGTTGACGTCCACATTTAAATGAAATGCATTTAAACAAAGCAGAATGAAATGCTTTAAATAGATTTAATTTCATTAAGATAAGAATTAGAAATAAAATATAATACTAAATAAAGAACATTTTCATTGAAATAATATCCATATGGTGAAATAAAATAATGTTAATAATAAAGTTAATAAATATACATAAAATTTGTGAATAATAAAAAAAATCTTAAAAAGTACAATAAAAACAATAAATAACAAATAATAATTAATAAAACAAAAGAATAATATTAAAAATAAGAAAATAACAAAATAATAATAATTTAAAAAAACTGGCATTTTGAAATATATCTTTTTGTAGTTGGCACAAGTGCATTATACGTGACAGTTCAAGTCCTAAACTTTAATGTTGGTACATTGTCATGTTTGACAGCTAATGACAGATCATTTTAATGCAAAGTATAGAAAGTGATAAATTTTATTATTATATTTAACTGGTTAATAATTATGTTGTTTAATGGAATAACGCCGGAGAATATATATTTTATTTAATTTTATAACTTAGTTTAATAATATTTTAATATGTCTATGGAAAACCAAGTAACAGATATGACTATAAAACAAGATGAATTAAATTCCTCTGCAGACTACCATGTAATAGAATGTGATCCTTTAGATTATTCAATATTAGACAAGCAAGATGAATATAATTCTACTGCAGATGATACAAATAACAGTGTAAATATTAAATCAGAAATATCTTCAGAAGATGACGACTCATCTTTTGATATGTCTATAGAATCTGACATAGATTATGAACTTATAGAACGAAACAAAATAAAAAGACACAAATGTCCTACCTGTAACAAAAAATTTGTTCGTTCTTGTCATTTACGCCAACATGTACTTATCCATGGAGATGACCGCACATACAAATGCGAATTTTGTGATAAAACCTACAAACAAGCCAGCCAGTTGTGGCTGCATCATAAAACTCATTCCGGACAAAAGCCACATGTATGCAGTGTCTGCAAAAAAGCTTTTATGAGCTCCAGTAATCTAACACGGCATTTACGCTGCCACACAGGAGACCGACCTTATACCTGCACACAATGCAATAAAGCCTTTGCATATTCAACCACTTTGTTACAACACACAAGACTACACATGGGAATAAGAGCCCACAAATGCAAAGTCTGCGATAGAAATTCACTCAATCAGGCCACTTGTCAAAGCATATGGCTGTCCATACAGGAGAAAACCCCATAAATGTGATATGTGTGAGAAGACTTTCAGTTGTACAGGCGACTAATAAAACATGTACCTACACTCTACAGGGGCTAAGCCTTTTCAGTGTTTGTATTGTGAGAAATCTTTTCACAATCAAGTAGTTTGTCCAAACATACTAGGATCCATACTGGTGAACGGCCTTATAAATGTGATTTGTGCAATAAAAACATTCACTCAATCTTATCATAAGACTCAGCATCAAAAGGTGCACGAAAAAAAA